AAAAACTAAACCAGCCTGTTCTTTATTTGTAGCTATAATCAGAAACTTTATTTACCCTCAAGACCAAATTAAAATGTCTGCAGGACAGAAATAAACTGTCTTTGCACAACTCAGTAGTTAACATGTCACTGCTACTGATTTATATTTGTTTTTCCCGACATAGATTATGCCGTCCCTGCTCATATTGAATACACAATAGAGGCTTAGCGAGTACCAACAAGGCTCCATCATGAAGGTGGACATGCAGCAAATATAAAGTGTGGTTGCACTGTATGTCAGTGGAATAGTCGGATCGCTGTTAACTACAAAGAAACAGTCTGATAAAGTGTCCTCACGCAGTCGCACTACGACAAACACCACAGAGGACCCACTGTCAGACAAACAAGGCTTCGCTTTGTGTTTAGATGATGACGTTTGACATTTGGGTGACATTTTCATAACTCGCCGTCTCTCGAAAACTCCCAAACCTCATTCGAAACCCGTTTAAACTTGGCCTCACAGATGCAAAGCAAAGACTGATGCGTGCCCAGTTGCTGACCTCTGATTGATTTATTTTTTTTAGAATCCGATTTTACACGAGAGACAAATGTCAGTCATCTGCCGAGCTTAAACTAAAGGTTAAGGTTCAAGATATTCCACAAAGTCCCCAGTTCTTTCCCGTTTCATGTTTGTCTTCCCATTTAAAAATGAATCATTAATACATGCCGTTTTTAGCAATTAACTCTAAAACGGGACTAAATGGGGCATTGCAGCTGCAAATTAGCACAGATTTGAGGCTCCAGTTAGCTTTCACAGCGGCGGTACAGTGAATTAGATTGAGTCAAAATAAACTACGGCGCCTGTGTTTGTTATAATGAAGCCACGTGTGATCCGGTGCATTAGCGTAGCTCACCGACGTGTAGTTTTTGGACAGCAGTTGATTTTTATGACACAGAGGAATAAGACACACAGGTATTTGTCAGTAGGATCAAGTCATTGCTTAAAAAATAAATATGTAAAGTGACAGCAAAAACACACTCACACCAGACAGCGCTATAAATAAAACAGCAATGAGAACGTCTCTGGCACTTCCAGTGTTTCTTTATAATTTGTTGAGTATTTATGGCAGATTTGTGTGCCGTTGCTGTTGGATATTATTTACTGCTGCTGTAACATTTCCAGGGCGATTTATATTTAGATGGCAGCTTTTTGAAGTTTCAAGGAGCTGCATAAGCCAAGAAGAAAACAGTAAATATATGAAAGAGCAAAATAAAATGACCATTAAAAAAAAAGCAAGCAATCAGAAGGACTGTAACTTGGCACCTGACTATGTAAGGCAGGGGTGTCCAATCCTGGTCCTCGAGGGCCGCAATCCTGCAAGTTTTAGATGTTTCCTTCTTCCAACACACCTGAATCAAATGATCAGGATCATTATCAGGCTTCTGCAGAGCTTGATGATGAACTGATCATCTGAATCAGGTGTGTTGGAAGAGGGAAACATCTAAAACTTGCAGGATTGTGGCCCTCGAGGACCAGAGTTCGACACCCCTGATGTAAGGCCTAAAAGACGAGCAAGTAAATCTTAACTAAGTGGTTACAAGCAAGAATTGGAGTGCTGTATGCGATGGTGAATGCATGAATGAGCTTTTTCTAAGTCTAAAAGCAGAAGAAAACATCTAAATTTAAGCTGAATGAACTCGATTGTAAACCTGTATCATCTGAGCATCAGCTGTCCGACCCCGCCAGTGTGTTTTTAAACGCTTGTTGTCTTCATCAAAATGACGCAATTTATCAGAACCAGAAACTGTAAAAACAGAACAGATTGTTTCAACTCTCTGGTGGTCCTTGAACTCATCGTCGACAAGCAGTTACGTCGGGTAGCTTAACCAAAACCTAAAATGGTGATATTTCATCAAAAACCCTTTATGCTACATGCCTCTTTTAAAAATTATGATAAAAGCGTTACTTAATTGAAAAATGTTCTGTGCTCTTTGGTGCAACCAGGAAGTCGTTAGTGGTTCAGCTCAGGCCAGCAGTCACAGAACGACAAAAACTCCAAAACCTTTCAGCTGAACTGGGAGAGAAGCGAAAAGCAAATTCAAAATCTAAGTAATGACATATCTATAGTATGTGGACTCCTTGCGTTTTGAATTTTTGTGAAACTTAGCGCCACAGAAGACGTTTGAGTTCTCTCTACTTGGAGTCATCGTTGCTCCGTTTCCTTAGAAGTGCAGGACTTCATGTTGTAGTGAAAAATAAGCCCACAGTGAAGAAAAATGTGACAAAAGAAACGCCCAGAAACTGCTCGAAGTTCTGAGAGTCAAAAGTGGGACATGAATGTGAAACCACTCCACAGATTTCGGGCCTGTGGTTGAACATGGGTGAATCAAACCAGACTTAAAGTGATCCATATTGTTTCTAGTGCTAGAAGAAGTGACTTTGATGGCTTCTATTTTGCGCTGACACAGAGAGAAGCAGTCACGGTCGTGATTGTAAACCCCTCTCTCTCTCTCTACACTCTGTCCCAGTTACATGAAATACGCCGGACTCTACAATAAAAGCTGCTCCTGCCAAACCAAACATTTCTTCACAAAGCCTTGGCAGCGTGAGAGATTTATTCCCTGACGGAGAACATTTGTGGGAATTCTCGTAGATGTTGTTTCAGCTCCTCTTCAAGTTTTTTTTTTTTTTAATAGAAACTTCTTCCCAAAAAGGCAGCAACATGGGTCACCCCAGCAGAACATGTAGAAATGTGCCCTCTTCCGTGTTGCATTTCCATTTATAATCTCAGGTTAAACCCGTTGTTCATCCCTGTATGCTTCTGTTAGACCTGCTCCTGCTCGATAGATAAACTTCGCACCTGTCGTAGTAATAAAATGTCCTCGCCCTTCGCTCAGGTGCTTCTGCGTGGAGTGCGTGGACCTCCTGGTGGGTCAGGGAGCCGCCCACGCCGCCATCAAGGAGGATCCGTGGAACTGCTACATGTGCGGTCAGAAGGGAGTGTTCGGCCTGTTGGAGCGTCGCATCGACTGGCCCAGCCGCCTCCAGCATTTCTTCGCCAATAATCACGACCAAGATTTTGTGAGTAATTCACCTTTTAAGGCTAAAAAAAAATCACCAGTAGCTGCCTCACTGAGGAGTCTTTCTTTTTTCTGTGTGTTTCACTTTGTCGCTGTTGTATTTCAGGATCCACTAAAGCTTTACCCCCCAATCATGGCGGAGAAGAGGAGGCCCATTCGCGTCCTGTCGCTATTTGACGGCATAGCAACAGGTCAGACGGGAATCCTGTCTCCTCTTTGTCAACAAATTCTCAATTTCTCTCTCTCTTATTTTGAAAAATCTAATCAGTAAGTTTCGAAAATGCCCAAAGAGCGGCTCACTGTAGATTTTAGCAATAACCACTAAAACTAAATGGGGCTTTTCAGCTGCAAATTAAAACAGATTTGAGGCTCAAGTGAGCGTTTGTAGCAGCAGTACAGTGACTGTGAGATAAACTACGGCGTCCATGTTTATTGTAATGAAGCCACATGTGATCCAGTTCATTAGTGCGGCTCACTGATGTGTCGTTTCTGGACAGCAGTTGATTTTTATTCCTTTCTGCTCAGTGTTTGATGGCATCTGGTCAAAATGTGTACAGATTGTTCTGTTTGTACCCTGTTGCACCAGTTTCTTCAGTAAACATATATATTTTTTTTAATACTTTTTAGTCTACTTTAATGTCAGAGTTTTACTTTTGAGACAATAAGCACCAAAATAGTTTTTTACATTTTATTGTGCTCCCGTCTGTCAATTAATACATGCAACTAAGAAATGAATATTACACTTAAGAAGTTAATACATGATGACACATGAAAAGTGACGTAGGCTGAGTTTACTGGTTGCGTTTGGCATTATTCAGTCCCCAAAACGTCATATCTGTCAAACTTTTTTTGTGCACAATTATTTGTGTTTTTATGATATATATGAAGAGTTCGTTTGCAAAAACAGAAAACTCCATCTACACAAACCTTCAGAAAACCCACTTTTCCATCATCTACCTGAGACAACATCAGTCAAACTTAAGTTAAACCCACTCAACTTCAGTTTGATTGATATTATCTCAACCAAACAACAACAAAAAATAAGTTTTCTGTAAATCTACAAAAATGCAGTTATCTGTTTTTGCAAATGAACTCTTCATACGTTGATGGATTTGTCCTTAGTGATCTTTACTCTGACCTTTGGCTGCATCCTGTGCAGGGCTGCTGGTGCTAAAAGAACTTGGCATCCAAGTGGATCGCTACATCGCCTCTGAAGTGTGTGAAGACTCCATCACTGTGGGCATCGTCCGGCATCAGGGTCGCATCATGTACGTTGGCGACGTGAGGAACGTCACTCGTAAACATGTGAGTTTGATCTGTTTTTTGTTTTTTGCTTGCTGTTGCTCATCAGCTGAATCACGCTTCCTACAGTAATCTGACATGGATCTGACCTGAGATGAGCCATGTGAGAAACGCACCAAAACTCAATGCTTATGTGGTAATTAAAACAAAAAACAGCCTAAATGATTAATTGGATAATTAGACCTAATCCAAAATGCAAACTGAACCGACCCTAACGGAGAGAAAACACAAACAGCGGCAGCAGCGGGTTGCGTTATCAATTAATTAGACTAATTAACAAGCAAGTGCAAAGAGAAGAGATAGGAACTGGAATAATTGTTTTATGCTACACAAGAAAAAAATGACATAAGTCTTAATTCCAGTTTGCGCACCGACAATCAAAGCTAGTTTATTTGGATCCGCTCTGGAATTTAAAACGAGTCTGTACCCGACTAAATTAGACAAAGTAGAACTTGGATCTGATTTGGGGAGATCCATGAGGACTCATTAGGATAAAACCAGAAAACTGGCTGAAACTCTCACAAGCTGGTGAAATCAGACGTGTCGACTGTTTGAACATGCACCAGCTTTTAATTTGAAATGTGGGAAAAGAGCACCTATCAAATGACTGAATAAATACAGAGACACCAAACTAGTAGATGACTGGCTCTGATTATAGTTGTTGTTACTCACAAAGTTCCTCCTAAGCATCAGCTGGATGTGTTTTCTAAAGAGGAACCACGAAGAATTGGACTCAAAATCTATAGTCTGTTTGGGTCTGACTGTCAAAATAAGACATAAAAACTCTTCTTGCCTCATGACAAAAGTGCATGAAGTCATTAAAGATGTAGACTAGAGGGCAATAAAGACTCTCAGACATAAAGGCTCTAGGATCTAGATTTTGTATTGCTTTTTAAAAAAAAATTTGTTGCACAATATCTCTGAGTTTATTATCTGTACCGTCTCTTATCTGTGTGCAGATACATGAGTGGGGTCCGTTCGACCTGGTTATAGGTGGAAGTCCGTGCAACGACCTCTCGATAGTCAATCCTGCTCGGAAGGGTCTTTACGGTACGTTGAAGCCCACTTCCCTTTTGCAAAACCACCAGCTTGTGTCCTTTTTCACTGTGGTTTAATGACTCCTTCCGGCCCGCAGAGGGCACCGGTCGCCTGTTCTTCGAGTTCTACCGGCTGCTCCACGAGGCTCGGCCCAAGGAGGGCGACGACAGGCCTTTCTTCTGGCTCTTTGAGAATGTGGTGGCCATGGGCGTCAGCGACAAGAGGGACATATCTCGCTTTTTAGAGGTTAGTCGTGTTTCAGCCTGACTTCCAGCTCCTGTAGAATGCAGCGCGGTGTGACGTGAGGATTTCTGGATTATGAATGCCCCCTTGTGGTGCTAATTCATTATCTTTAGACACGGATCATTACAAAGGGAGCTCTGACCCTTTTTCATCTTGATGTAGCGGCTTTAATATGTTTAATGTGCTTTAATCTGCTCCTAGATAATGTCTATTGCTCTCCATACTGCAGTTGGTCCATGTGGACAATGTAGTGAGCTGCTAAGTTAAAAATAATCTCTGCTGTGGAGAATCTGTTGGAGGTTTTCCACTGAAGCAGCTCAAGTAGCAGTAATGTTCTACTATGAGATGAAAAGCACGTGTTACTCTTCTGTTTTGTTCTGTGAGCAAACTTAAGCATGATTCCTCTCTGCTCGCTGTTTGTTTTCAGTGTAACCCAGTGATGATCGATGCCAAGGAGGTGTCGGCTGCCCACCGCGCCCGTTACTTCTGGGGGAACCTCCCCGGCATGAACAGGTTGGTGGGTGAAGGGGAAGCAGCAAACCCAACAGAGAATAAAACAAAGAAGGGACTGCCTTTCTAGAGCTGCTTCCACCCTTAAGATAAAAAATAAGATAAAATATTGGCTACAGCAGCCATACGTTTACTAAATAAAGCAGTGAATTGGTGTTTTGGGGTGACTTTGGCTTGGTTTGGATCAGAAGGGACGTTATGTGTAGCCTTGTACCTCCAGAATATTTCTTAATCTCCTGAGTTCTGTCAAAGAATAATATCATGTTTAGAACTGTAATCGGCAACTAACCAGTCAGAAATCATTTACTTCCTAAATCCTGAATCTTAGCAGCGATTAAAAATAGTTAAGAGATTAATTAAGCGTTTTTCTGGTGAACTCTGGAACTGACATCAGTCTCTAATTTAAGAGAATTTTCACTTTTCCAGTACAGATTTGTTATATTAGTTTGAAAACTACAGGAAAAGACTAATGCAGCATAAAAAAGTTGTGCATAAATCTACTACATTTGACTTCAAAGCTGAGTTTTTAGGCCTTTGTGGGTGATTTTGCACAAATAATAAAGGAAACTAGCCTTTTTTTTGGCCGAAATCTGTGCATTTTCCTGTTTTTTTCTGACCATTTGATAAAACAAAAATGTCTTATGATTAAGTAAATGAAACCCCAATTAGTAATATGTATTTTTTTATCCTGAAGTTTAATCATTTTGGCCAAAAAAAACCTCTTTGTTGGGACCGAAGATTCTTCTGTGCAAGAAAAAGCCCTGCAAATCTGTGCAAAAGTGCACAGCGGCTTTCACATTAGTTAAATAAGCTCCTAAGTTATATGAATGTAAACTGTGGCTTCTGTTCATTCTCCTTTTCTAGGCCTCTGACTGCCATGTGCTCTGACAGACTGGACCTCCAGGACTGCTTAGAACACGGGAGAACAGCCAAGGTAAAAAGTGATACCATGATTGACGCGCATGTGAACGTAACGGTTACTGATCAGAAGAAGAAGTTATTGTAAGTTTTCTGCATGATTTTAGCAAAAAATTGTTCAATCCAATGAAACACCAAAGCTGACATAGATCCACACAGCTTTGCTCTCTGGTGGCTCCCTGTGGCAGCAAGAGGGAAAAATCCATCAGTTCTGAGAAGTGTTACGCCCCGGTCTAGGGGAACCTTGAGCATGACATGATATTTGCTCCACACCAGTCTTTCCACCTCAAAGAAGGCCAGCAATCACGACAAGCCAGGTGTCAAACGAGCAGTTTCTTTTATTTTTTACAAAGTAGAGGGGGAACATAGGCCAAAATAACAAACAAAAACCTATTCTACAGGAACCCTGACCTCCCTATCAGAAAAGAAAAAGCAAATAAAAGACAATAACCTACCTAGTAAACAAAAAACAGGAGAAAAAGGTTCAAAAGAAAAAGGCCTCTCCCTCCTACTCTGCTCTCTAGCTACAATTTTTACAAAGAGTCACTACAGGACTCGGGATCTGTTTCACACGATCCTGAACAAACACACTACTGCTGCATCCTCCTGCAGTACAGTTGCGATGGCCTGCTGGCTTTCTCTGAGGTGGCGAGGCTGGAGGTGAGGAGAACGAGTGCAGCTGGCGGGCTGTTCAAATAGTGGGTTGGCCCGCCCTCTGACCAATGGTGTGGCTGGAATCCGGCGCGGCAGCAGGTGAGACAATCCAGGGTCACCACCTGCTCCTAATTCATTCGTTCATCCCACACACACACACACACACTGAGGACAGACACAGGCAGCAAAAACACAAAACACCACAGATGACCCACACAGAGAGACAGGATTCTAGCTGGTTATGCAGCTTTTTTTCACGCACTAACGTTCCTCTTTGTTCTCCACCAGTTCGACAAGGTGCGGACCATCACCACCAGGTCCAACTCCGTCAAGCAGGGCAAGGACCAGCATTTCCCCGTCTACATGAACGAGAAGGAAGACATCCTGTGGTGCACTGAGATGGAGAGGTATGTTAACCCAAAGATCCTTCCCCCCCTAGACTCCCTGATACAGCTCTGTGTGAGATCGGAATTTCAAGATTATCCCTCTTTTGTCTTCCTTCCCCTCTGCTCCTGGTCGCTTGCTCTGGTCAGGGTCTTTGGCTTCCCTGTCCACTATACGGACGTGTCCAACATGAGCCGGCTGGCGAGGCAGAGGCTCCTGGGCAGGTCGTGGAGCGTCCCCGTTATCCGCCACCTGTTTGCACCACTTAAAGATTACTTTGCCTGTGTTTGAGCGGCGACAAAGCGGCTGCTCCCCGAAACCCGTTTTTAGGAACCACGACGTGCGACGTTGTGACTAGAAAAATAAAGAGCCTTGATCCTCAGATTATACGCCGGTATAATCTGTGAGCGAAACGTTTGACGTAGATTTCACATTATTTCTTGTATTTGAATTGTAATTCTTATTCTATTTAATTTTTGATATGTCATTTTACCTTTTTAGCAGTGTTATCAAGTATTGTTGATTTGTTTGTGCAAGCTATACTTGAGACTATGCTTTCTTCTCAAGACACTGAGAGAGAAAAGTGCTACACGTGTAAAAGAGAGCGCGACGGGGAAACATCGGGACGAGAGGGAATTTGTGCTTCTAAAAAAAGAAAAGAAAAAAAAACAGATATGTGAAATGTTTCTGCTGTGTGAGCGTACTGTATGTCGGGGGCTGCGAGATTCCCACCTGCAGTGCAGCCATGCTTCCAGCTACTGAGCCTCACAGATGTGAAGAGAAAAAAAAAAGGCGATTTTTGTTTTTTTCTTAAGTGTCAGGAGAGCCGTGTCTCTGAGAATCCAAAACACCAGATCACATATACCTCTTTGTTTACAGTTTCTATACACAACTGAAGGTAATAAAGGTACTACTGTAATATGGTTACAATACCATGGTGCTCCAAGATGATGAGAAACATCATAGCCCATGTGGCGCCGAGACTTTATTAGGACAATACGGAGCTCTTTAACCTGTTGCTGGAGATAAAAAAAAAAACTTTTTAACGGAAAAAAAAGAATCCGTTCGGTGCCGTTTTGCTCACTTCCAAAGGAGTGGCAGACATCAGACGACCGCGGAATAGAGCTCATCCTCTTTTTTCTGCGATTTTACAGCTTTTATACAGTTTCTAGTGGTGCTCATTTAACCTCTCAGCCTTGCTACGCTCAGGCGGCTCAAGCGCCTGGATCTGCACAAAACAGAGAGTGAAGCTAAAGCCACATGGGAAATGATGTTTTCTGTCATTCAGAAAAA